AGAGAGAGAGAGAGAGAGAGAGAGAGAGAGAGAAAAGCAACGATAAAAGAGTATCATTCATGATCATGTGAATGATTAAGTGGTTAAACAAATAAATACAGTGTGCTGTTTCACCTTTTGATAAACGTTTTATCGCGTGTTAATTTACATTCGGAGATTCTGATCACGATAAAAGCTCGATTATTCGAACAACGCGTTGTAAATTACATTCCTTTCGTTTTATACTCCTTTAATCGGGAGTCTTGAACTCGCAAGAAAACATTGACCTGGCTATCAATCGCAGCAATACCAAGACGATTTTTGTTTTTCATTTTAAACAGTGCCTCGTTAGTCGCGCTATGGCGTTCCTCGACATATAACATTCAATTACTAACTGCTTGGCTAATCTGAGAGACCGTAAAACTCAATTTTTGATTGGCCTTTTTCAAAAATTTAACCACAATATCTCACATATTGTATTCACGTTAAATCAGGTCGTGTAGCCCCGAATTATCATTCGTTCGAATAATCCAGATTTTCACGCGAGATATCCGTCACATACGTGTCTTTAGAATGAAATACGAAAGTCAAGGTAAGTCAAACAAATTGATCGTTTCAGTCGAGCGAAAGATCGATACCAAGGAAAAAGAGGGGAAAGAAATAGAAAGAAAAAGAGAAGAATCTTTCTACGGTGTGGGAAAAATGTCGAGAGGGGGAGAGATTGATAAAAAAAAAATCGTCTCGTTGATCTTTTTCTGATTTCTTTTTTTTTTTTTTTCATGGATTTTTCCGTGTCTTGGTTATCGCATCGCAGAGTACACGTGGTAAACAAGTGATAATTAATAACCCAAACGTTGTATATAGGTTGAAACACAAACAACAAACACATCGCATGATACGCTATTTAAGACAGTACATGAAGTGTATATCGCGCGACGATATAGTGCAGAAAAATAAAATTTTATAGATGAGAGTCGATAACTACGATGAAGGAAACGTGAAGAGTTACGGCAGACGATGAGATAGTATTAATGGTAATTATGGTAATAATGTACGTAGCAGTAGAGCAGTAATATAGTGGTCATGGTAATGGGAATAATATTAACTAAAAAAAGAGAGATCTCGATAAGGATAAGAGAAAAGAAGAAAGAAAGAAAGAAAAAAAATGAAAAAGTAAAACGTAATATGTATACGGGTAGGCTTTGTAAATGAAATGAAGTTGTAAACAGCGAAAATGTTTATTGCAAAATATATAAATATGTACATTGGTGTCCACGTTGAGCTGATAGCTGAATATTTTCACAATAAAGAAGAACGTGTGTGTTCTACTTCTACCATTTAATTCTCTCTCATACTCTCACTCTTTCTCTCTCTCTCGTATACTCTCTCCGATACATCCATGTCGTACTAGCTAGCTTTGCCAAAAATATACTCGACTGTACCACACGCCGTAAAGGATCCTTCTAAGTTTACAATAGATCGCACAAAATTATTGTGTAATAGCCAGCGACGCTTAAAAATTATTACAATAAATATGTATGTCTACGTATAAAAATTTATAATCCCTTCTTCTGCAACTGTATTATGTCATTAACAAATTTCACGCCTAGCATTTTATAGTCAGAACGAAATCTTGTGCGATCTATCACATTATTTCGATAGTAGGTTTCGACAAGTCGTCAATGATTGCTCTCTCGCGTGTTCGTAAAATAGAAACCTCTATAATCACGAGCCATTTACTATTCTGTACGCTACTAGGAACACGTGGAAATAGTTTTTACAGAAAACTTTGGCACGTTCGTACGTGAATGATTCAAGGAACTTGGACGATGGAAAACTTGATTGAAAATCATTTCATACACGTATGGCAATTTACATACGTTGTCAAAAATTCTACTCATATGGGACGGCTAACGTTCCAGCGACAGAAATGTTGCGAAATTATCTTTACAATGATACGCTTCCAGCGAAAACCATATACTTTAGGTATATGTAATAAACCCGTTTTTCTTCTTTTTTCTTTTTTTTTTTTTTTTTTCTTTTCTTTTCTTTCGAACGTGATCGTTATTTCTCGAGATGCTTCGGTAATCTCTGTGCGTTACTTAGCAAAATTGTGCTCGACATTAGCGGAATTATTAGCAACAAAATACTCAGCTACGTATGTGGACACCAGTGGACTGGTTACTTTATACTC